AATTTAAAGAACTGCCCTTTTGGCCAGAAAATATCTGCTCTGAATCAAAACTTGATCAATAATCATATATCATTTCTTTCAACTGGATCACATAAGGGGAGAAAAATCAGAGGTCTACTTTTCCAGAACCTCCCTGTCAAATTGCTGGCTACAGACATGGACAAAAGTTCCACATATTTTGAAAACAACAGTATTGGCATAACTGAGTTTATCATTTCCTAATAATTTTATTTTTCACCTTTGTGATGATAAAGAAAATGTTTTACCGCCCGAGGGTTTCGCCAGACATAAATTATAGGGTTACAGCAACTGTGCAAGTACCCAAGCCAGTACACCTGCAATTACATTTGGATGTAAAAAACACCATTAATGCGCCAGTTGTAATTAATTATTTGACAATTTTGGGCAAAAAATTAATTTTTTTTTTCTGGTGGGAAGGGGGTACAGGTATCATTTGAACATGCTCCATTGCCAATTTGTGATATGTGGTGCAAATTTTACTCGAGTCCCAGAAATTGCACTTCATGCACATTTCTTTCTAAATATTCATAGACATGGTTTTCTGCTTGTACAAAGCATTAACTGACAAAATTCCGAAAATATTTTTTCTTGACTAAAATAGATTAAATTTTTTATTCTTTTTTTTGTAAATCCACAGCATATGTACTACTTGTAAAGCTAGTAGTTTAAAGAGCCTATTAATGTGAATATATCTAATGCCCAATAAAGGATTTTCTTTAATTTGACCAAAAAACAAAAAAATCTTTATATTTAAAATCTCCTCCCCTCCTTAAATATTTGATTTGGTTATTTTGTGACCACATATACTATGAAAGTATTAAAAAAGTTTGGTTTTGCATGTTGTCTACTTACCAGAGGGTTGGCCCAGTGCGGGAGACTGGTCTTGTCCTCAATAATGGAAGCATACGTGGAGTAGACGATGTAAGGAAACCAGCATATGAAGAACACCACCAAGACAATGAACAGCGTCACAGTTATACGTTTCTGCTGAGCCAGAACCGAATCTCTCTCTTGGTTAGTATGTGCTTGAAGTCGCAGTGTGTAGCCTTTGATTTCCACAAACATCCTGCGGTAGCAAAATATCATCACGACAAATGGCACGAGCCAGCACGTGCTTGTCGTGAATATTGTGTGTGCATACTGTTGGGTCGTGTGCGGAAAATCTGGGCCACATTGGGTCGTGGCATTTTTATAAACCACGTGATTCAGTCCTGTTACTGTTAACATGGCGGTGAGGAACCCCCAAAACCAGGCGCCACCAATCATGAGCAGGATTTTACGGTATGTTAACACTCGACTGAATGGTCGTGTAATTGTTACATATTTGTGGACGCTGATATACATTAGGTTATGAATTGAAGTCACCAGGAAAAAAGCCATTGTGAATCCATTAAAAACACAAAATTCATCCTCAAATATCCATGTCCCACGTATAATAGTGGCCAATGAGAATGGCATATCCAAGATGGCAACACACAAATCTGCTGTGGCCAAACTTCCCAGAAACATGTTAGTCCTTGTTCGCATACCTTTATGGCGGCCTATCACAGATAAAACCATTAAATTACCTACAATGGCACATAACATAAATATTGACAAAAACGTTGCAAAGATGACCTTGATGGGTAAATCCCAGTGGTCGCTATGGGGACTGTCAAGATCACTGCGGAACGTCACATTCAGTGTCCTGTTAGGAGATGTCAAGGGAAGGGTAAAGTGATCCAATGTGGTCAGATCCATGCCTGAAGGGGTCATCTCACTGATGCCAATAAAAGATTCTATGTCCAGACCGAGATTCTTGGCAATCCTCAAAAGAAATCCATAAGAGTTTGCTTAACTATGTCATTCGATGTTGTTTTTAATCTCAATCAAATGTCCAGTATGGAGCAATCTCAGGCAGATCTGCCAAAAGTTCCGTAAAGCAGTCTATTTCAATATGTTATAGAGTGAATGGGCTGGTTCCATATGCACAGCACAGTATATATTCATTGAGGCGTATCCACTGAATAATAACTCCACAAGCTAAATGATCACTGAATTCATTTTTCACTTAGTTTTCCAGATTGCAGCAGAAATTGTCACCACTTGTCAGCAAAATAAATACTTAACATTTATCAATACAGTGGAATTCCTGGTAACAGACATTGATGCCTCTTCATGAAGTCATACCTCTGCCAATGACTTCAATTTGTCAAAGCTCAAGTCAGCAAATGACGTTCAGCCTTTCTCAAGCAAAAAGTTGGCCCATTCTAAAAGAAGTATGATTTTCAGTTGTAAATTAAGATTGTCTGGTGAACGCCATACCTAGTATCCACCATGCAGCTTACTGATAAAAAAAAACAAAAAAAAACAACATATAATATCCTACACGTAATTAAAGTTTGAAGTCCCATGTTACATGACTTTACACATATATCAGAACAAGCTCACCACATACCCACAGCCAGAACATGTATTGAATCAATTTCCTGTTATGTCAAAAATATCTGTGCTTTATATTTTTTATCTCTGAATAACAGGCTGCTGCCTGTAAGCCCACTTACATAAAATGAAGCAAATTAAAAAAAAATTTTGTTGTGTAAGAATTGGCAAAACATTAACCTGGCCCATTAATGAGTCGAGGCCACTTGCTTTTAACACAGCACTTTAGTACATTCATTTTTTTCAGCTATGTGGAACTGCCATATAACAAAAAGGCAATCGAGGATTCTCACATACAGTGTGAATCCCTGTTGCCTTTTTAGGAAAAACTCTAGCCAATGTCAGCTAAAAGCCACTGCAGCTTTTATTCATGCTTGGTTGATGATAGATTGAATATTAATGGAGTTTTCTGTGGTTATTAACACGACAATTGGAATGTTACAGTAGCAATATTCATAAAGTCATTGAATAGCAGGTGTCTGAAAGCTTACCCTATTTTTCTGCATTCATTCTGATATACTCTGCTGGTCAAGTGCTGAAAATCCACCAGATCTGATCCAAGATTTTTTTTCTTTTTGTTCACTTATTTCAAGTTATTCTCTTGCTGTAATGACTCATTATCCAGAATAATGTTGAGAAGTGCAATTCTTTGCTCCAAAGTACTTCTCCACGGCAGACTGATAAATATAGGATTGTGTCATCACAGTACTATCTTGTTGTTTTTAATTCATTTGGCGTAATGTGCACTAGACCATACCCCCAGAGAGATTCTGTGCAGCTGAACTGAAAAACAAAAAAGAATGCCACACATTAAATATATATATTACTGCATTGTTAAACTTCTTCAATGGCAACTTTTAATTTTAATTTAAAAATGAAAACAATAATGAAAAAAAAAAATAAAAATAAAAGTGTGAATAACACTAAATCTTGTAAATTATTATACTGTGTCAGTACATATCAAAGTGTACATCAGCTGGTTACAATGAATTATATCAATTTAGAATCTTTTATCTCTTATAAGAGTATATATGCCATTGGTACGGTAGGATAAATAATAATATGCAAGTAAGAACTGTAAGTCAACGAGGTATCAATTTCTCAGGGCTCAATACAGCACTGTACTTCAAATATCTGAAGGCTAAATGATCATATTTGGTGGCTGCAGTGTTTTGTAAACCAAACAAAATTGATCTGTTTCTATTCAGCTGCTTCTGTGATAACTTATTATGTTCTGGTTCTATCTCTAAAATGTCACAGCTGCCATTTGAGCACTAGCTTCCTGACATTTCTAGCACAGCACAGACCAATTAGATGTTCAAATTGATCATCTAATTATGCTACTTAGAAATGAAATTCAGATGTAACAAAAGCATTCTGAGACATTTTGAATGACATAAATCAAGCCAATTTGAGATAAAAATGTTTCCAATCTTAGCACCTTGTTCATTGGTATTAAATTTTCATCAACAAAACATACAATGTACATGCACATTCTTGCAGAAAAATACTAAACACTGAATCGCATACATTTATTAAAAAATATTAGGTCTTGACTGAGATAGTCACTAAGAAAACATGAAATCATAAGATTTTAGTATGTTTGATTAAATGTGATACAGTACATGTCAAAGAGTCCATGGACAGAAATTAAAGCAATAAAAGTAGGCAATTCCTAATTTCATCATATTTTAAGTTGTGGAATTACATAAGGACAATTCCTCATATTTTGGCAATGATAATATGAAGATGCATTTTATCATACATCCATGTATATCTAATTCAACAACTTAATAAAAACAATTAATGGGATTTCAGTAACCTTTATGCAAGACTGATAGCATTTAATAAATCAAAGCAAACTTAGAGCAAACTGACACTTCAAATAGCACTTACATGGTCATTATCCATACATTTTGAACCACCTCACACTTTTCAATATTTTCCTATTTCAAAGTTCAGCTTGCATTTTTTTCTTTTTTCACATGGCCCAACTACTCTATCCTAACTTTGAAAAAAAATTGTGATATCACTAAAAAAACATTTTTTTGGGAAATTTATTTATTAAATATAAGCAATGTTGTGGGTAATTACTAATACCTTAATTAGGTTAATTGATTTTGAATACAGATAGCATGTATTTATAACAAATTTTACACAGAGAAGGAAACATACCTATATCTTTTTGGTGAATTAATTAAGGATTTTCAATATCTTTGGTCAAAAAGATGATGTTCAAAGTAAACCGTCCTGTAATTACTTTTGACCTAATGATCTGAACTGTACAGTTTCCATCACAATAATGTCTGAAACACAACTCACTACTCTCATGACTCACAATCCAAACACTCCAACAAATATCACACTTTTTGCAAGAGTTGGTAAAAAAAAGATAACTGTAATGTGATTATTGTGTGAGGCAATAAGAGATCTTTCATTCAAATGCCAAAGCAATCTGTCTTTTGAATCATCTTCTTTAACTCAGAAATGAAAAACATTAGAAGAAACACAGAAGGGAATTCTTCAAGTAGTGTATATCACGTCAGAGGAACAGATAGTGGCCTCTTAAATGAATGGTTTAGAATAACGACCAAAGACAGCAAAGTTCTGTAAAACTAAATCATTGCCTGTAAGACCCCATTTCCATAGATTTTAGATCGATCTATCCCTGTGGGGAGTCTCACTTGATTACTGTCAGCTTAGCCGGCTTAAGCATCTGTCTCACCTACTGAAAGCTGTAAGGGGCCGGGGTAATTAACTATGGTGCGCGCTCGGCTGACTGCAATTTAGCATGAACCCCCAGGGAGTTAGGTCGATCTAAATCTTAATCTCTGGATCGATCTAAATGTCTGGGAATACACCCTAAGTCTCATGGCAATCAACCCAGACTAACTTCCTCGCTAAAACCAACTGGTTCATGTCTATCAATTTATCAGCAATTCTTTTTTCAGTTATTCTTGGCAGAAATTGCTGTACTATAGTAGTTTCACTAATCAAACTGTCTACGTATTTTTGCACAGAAGGCTTTATATTTTTCAGCATTGCCCCAGATATACCTAACATTTCTGGCAAACATGATCAAAAATTGGTGATCTTTTTTTTTCTGTGATACAGTCAACACAGCACTATACTGTACATGTCAATCATGGTTTCCCTATTACTATCAGTAGCGAATCCAGAATTTTACTCGAGTGGGGGAGGGGGTGGAGAGGCAAGGATGTAAAATAATTCCCTCGCTTTGCTGATGTAGGTATGAAATAGATTTGGAAATATCTTACATATGTTATGTCTGATTTCAAATGTTACATATACTACTAGCTGTTAATATGTTAGGGAGAAAAAGTGATTGGGGAGGAGGAGGAAGTGACATATCTGCTCTGCTCTCTGGATCTGTCATTGGTTCTGAAACTTCAAATGCCACCTGACTCCTTTCCATCCCATGTAGAAGGAACTAACAGTATAAAATTTAACAGTTTTCTGAATAAATATCTTTGTTTTAGCCACTCCTTTTGCTTGCTAAATACATGGAAACTTGCCTATTAGTGCTTGTATTGATACTCGTACTGGTATTTATTGATTCAAAGACAGGATAAAACCATCACTGGCCCATGTAATACTGTCACAACCATGTCACAGTCAGCCAATCATGAATATATATGAATTTTTCAACAAATTGAGTCTGTTTGTTCAGCATTAGCTGACACGAGTAAAAATCATAGAAAACTGGGGTCATGTTGATACTCTGTTACTATCAGTAGTGAATCCAGAATTTTGCTCGGGTGGGGGAGGGGGTGGAGAGGCAAGGATGTAAAATAATTCCCTCACTTTGCTGATGTAGGTATGAAATAGATTTGGAAAAATCTTACATATGTAATGTCTGATTTCAAATGTTACATATACTACTACCTGTTAATTTGTTAGGGAGGGACATATCTGATCTGCTTTCTGGATCTGTCATTGGTTCTCAAACTTCAAATGCGACCCGACTCCTTTCCATCACACATAGAAGGAACTAACAGTATAAAATTAAACAGTTTTCCGGATATATATTTTTGTTCTAGACACTCCTTTTGCTTGCCAAATACATGGAAACTTGCCTATTAGTGCTTGTATTGATACTCATACTGGTATTTATTGATTTAAAGACACAATAAAACCGTCACTGGCCCACGTAATATTGTCACAACCAAGTCACAGTCAGCCAATCATGACATATATATGAATTTTTCATCAAATTGAGTCTGTTTGTTCAGCATTAGCTCACACAACTAAAAATCATAGAAAACTAACATATAGTTATATCTCAATATTCAATTTAATTTGGTGAATGCTGTGATTTTTTCTTTGAAGTTTGCACTGGTTTCTTAATTCTTGCCAATAAACAACAGAAAACAATAAAAACAACACACTTTTCTGTTTCATTAAGCTTTAATATACATGTACCCTCTCTTTCTGATTCACATGCAGTCAGTGAATACATCATCACGTCTCTCAGTAGTCAGGATTTTTCAAACTCTAAGTAATGAACTTGAGTACAGTCTAGTACAGTTTCATGAGATTTCGCCTCCCTGCAGATGTACTGTACTGCTTAACGAAACAAGGGATATGACTGAGTCATTTTTCAGTATTAGTGTTTTTTATTGTTTATATTCTTAAGTTTTAACGTGCTGTAGATAAGTTTGAAATTGATACTACAGATTTTACCCCCAAAACATGCTGTTGCTACAGTACGGTACATCATCAGGTTGAATAAGCAAATTCCTCTTGATGTATTTTTGATTTGCAATCTTATCACATAACATGACGATGTTCATTTCCTCATTATTGAAGAAAATAATGAAAAAAGTTCATATGTATCGAACCCCGTTAAGCTTTTATCATTCAGCTGGAATTCATCATCACAGCATTAGAAATTGAGTAACTAGGATATATATGAGCAATACCCAAGTTTTATGACTGTAACATTATGCAATATCAAATTAGAATCTGACATTTAATGAATTGTATTTTCTCATAAATCCGTAGTCAAATACTTCATTTTCAGAGAAATGTTTCTGTAACATCCTTCTTTAATGGCTGACATATTTAAAGTTCCAGTTTTAGAGGGTAAAAGTGGGTCTTAACTATATATTAATTATTATAAAAATTGTTATCATTTCTAATATAAATAATTTTCCACTAACATATCAGTGTTCTAATGGAAGTTAATCTGTGTAGTCACAGTAGTATTCTCAACATACCCATCAGTGTTGTGTAAAGACTTACGTACCTCAAAGCAGAAATAATTGGCTTAAAGTCTATCAATACCATTAGGATTCAAATATATCCTCCCCCAAAGGTTATTTTTAGGTTTAAATTGTGAGTTATTAGTCTAGGATAGCCTAAGATCTGGAACTTCAAACTCATAATCAGATTGATCTACTGAATAAACGACTGTACTTAAAAGTATAATTTGGGCCTCAAATGGTATCTATCTCTGGCAGGCTGGGTCATACCAATGATAATTAAAAAATGACACTTTTCAACTTCTTGCTGTGAAGCATTCAAAATATTCTTTAATTGCACAGAAAATGTTTTGTACACTCTGTAGCCTTTTTTTTTTTTTGGGGGGGGGGGGGGGGGGGAAGTTCCTGACCCAACGGGGATTTAAACTTGGGG